CGAAATAGTCAAAGGTGTTTTACCTCTGCATTAGATGTAACTAACTTGTAACTAACTACTTTTGGACATAAAATATCAATAGGAAAAACAAAATATTTTTTTTTAATTTTATTGTTATTTTTTTATTTTTATTTACTTTATTACATTTCATATTTGTTTTCATATTCTGCTGTAGGTGGTCCCATATTCGAACTCCGTCAGACATAACTTCAAAATGATAATATGAAATTTCGATCTTCCTTTTACTTATCCTCACGCGCTTGTCCAAACGCGTTTAAAGAAAGCAATCTCCTTCATTACTCCTGCATTACTTGTCAACTAGTTTCAAGCTAGCTTTTTGTAGCTAACTACAAGTTATTATTTTAGAGAAATCCCGCAAAAAAGCTAACTACAACTGGGTTATTTTTTATCAATTGATAATTTTTTTCTGCAGGACAGATCCGTATTGGCTATTTAAATTTAAAGAAATAAAAAATTTAAAAAGTTAAGTTATTGGGATAATTTATGTCGCTATCAATAAATTTTTGCAATATTCTTATCAACCGTTATGTTAAATTACGGAGTTCATACGATTTTTTGCGGATTACATATTGAAAACAAGGTTGGTCTACTTTTTTCCAAAAGTTTAACCCATCAACTCGAACCAGAACGGGTCTTTTTGACCCACTGTTTAAAAAAATGGCTTATAGATGGTTAAAATGTCCACTAAAATATTAAGCGCCAAATTTTTCTAAGGAGAACCGAATGTAATGAAAAATAATACTAATTTTTACCAAAAAGGGGGAATTTTAACCCTTTGTAGAAAACGTTGCGATGCGAGGGAGCAAAACCTTCCTGGGGTTTGACCACCATTTAGGAATGCTAACGTAATTTTCACACATCCACCTAGTACTTGTATACGTATGTGGGACCCCAGAATAAAATAAATTACGAATATAAAAATTAGCAAAAAAAAGTGTTTGCTCTTAATTAAAGTCTGTTTCAAATAAAAAAAAAATACTCAGGAAAATCAACTTGTCTTTGGCTTATCTCTAATAATTGAGGAGTTAGATGGAATGAGTTAGATCAGTAGTGTCCAACCGGTTTTAGGCGCCCGCAAACAAAAAGATGAACAGAATATTTTGTATTGAATTGAAAAGTTTAACAATGGAAGCTTTTTTGGTACATAAGTAGACTTTTATTTTTGAATTTTCACGAACTCATTCACTTCTTATCTTTCTATGCTAGACATGACAGAATCTCTGTTTCAGGATCTTCAAAACAATAACAGCGTAATCTCAGAAATAAAGAGTGTCGTTATCTGAAGACCTACCAAACGATATTCATGGCCAAATAAAAAGCGGTTTCAAGAAATGTGACTAGGTTTCCTTAAAAATGGATGAGTCGACCGATGTTTCAGACTCTCCGCACTTATTAGTGTTCACCAGATTGGTATTTTCTGATTTTTCTGCTAAGGAGGCACTGTTAGTCAATCTGACTTTGGAAACTCGTACTCGTGGGCAAGATATAAATATATAAGGTAGTGAAAAAGAAGGAAAATCTGATTGCAAAAACACTCGACCTTGACAAGGTTATGAGCACGATCGTTCGTATTGTGAATTTGATTCGCGGATGACCGTTAAAGCATCGGCAATTCAAAGCCTTGCTCGATGAATTTGAGAGTTAATTCGGTGACATAGTCTACCACTCTGAAGTAAGATGGCTGAGTCAAGGTAAAGTGCTCTCAATATTTGTAGCTTTGATGACAGAAATAAAGATTTTCCTGAAATCCAAAGGCAGCATTTTTAACTGATGTGACTGCAAAACTAAATGATTTCAATACAGTTTCGCAATCTCGAAATCGATGTATGGATAGAGCAGTTGACAAAGAAAAACTTTCAACATTTCCGGACGTTTACTCTTCTGGAACAGGCTTTTTCACAACTAATGGTTATAAAAAACAAATACCGAAACGTACTGACTGACGAACATGTCAAAAATAACATGTTTTTAGCCTCCACAACTGTGCAATATAAACCAGATTTCAAGAAGTTATCTGAAAATATGAAGATTCAAGCATCATATGTGGCACGTAAAGTTAAAAGGGACCTACGGTCAGAAAAAATCGGTTTTCACTTTTTCATCGACTCTTATAGTAAATGGGCCACTCTTTCCAATGCAATAAACCGCAGCTTTCTAGCTGCATTAGTTTTTTTACAATTTCACTTCAAAGTTAGGTACTTTCACAAAAAAAAGTACAAAAAAATAAAATCTGACAAACTATTCTGAAATTAATCAAATTTGCTTGAAACTCGTTACTTGGGGGTTTCGAACATCCAATTCGTAATCACTTTAGTCGTTTTCGGTGTCAACAACATTTTTGAGTTTCACATGAATAAGAACAAATTTTAAATTTTTTCCGCCATATTGGATCCGCTACTTTGAATTTTTAAAAACGAACATCGGATTCGTAATCNCTACTTTTTCGGCGGCAGTACTTAATGAGCGGGAAATGTGGTTCCACTGCTCGCGTATGTCGGACTGTTGAAGAGTGCTCTCAGAGAGCAGGTGTGGGAGTCGAGTAGCGAAAGCGCTGGCTGTCTGTTGTGATTGCAGCTTTTCGACGTTAAGCTTTCCTTGCATATTTGGGCGCACATTTTTTGTTGCACAGAGGCGGGTGCGTATCTTGGCTGCAAGAAGATAGTGGTCCGAGTCGATGTTTGGGCCTCGCAGTGTGCGTACGTCTAAAACACTGGAAGCGTGCCTTCCGTCTATCACAGCATGATCGATTTGGTTTCTCGTTTTTGATCCGGAGACAGCCACGTAGCTTGATGGATCTTTTTATGCTTACTAGATTAGTAAATTAAGTATCATCCTTATAGCGTAATAGATTACTTAGAATGATTGAATGTCATTATAGTATTCCTTTACTTTGACGTTTAACATTGCACTGGCGTTTATCATCATACGACTGTAAATTAGTATATAAGATTTGTACAATAAAGTTTCCTTCCTTTTTTGCTACCAAACAACCGAGCTTTAAACATCTCATTGGCGACGAGGATGTCGCATTGGTAAAACTTTTTACAAGTAACAAAATAAATTATTTTTGCAATACTTTGAAATAATATTTCACAATGCCGGACCATATTGAAATAACCGATCAAATAAAAGTGGTTCACTCTTCACAAATGTCAGAATTTTCACCAAACGAAAATTGGGAACTTTGGAACGAGCGGCTGGAATTGCATTTTTCGGAGATTAAATGCACTGATGAAAAGGTGAAAATATCGATCTTATTGAAATTGATTGGTGCCGAAGCATATAGCACTTTGCACAATATATGCAGTCCAATATTGCCATATAAAAAGACTTACGCAGAATTATGTGATATTTTATCACAGCATTTTATGCCACCAGTTATTTTATTTCAAGAGCGTAAAAATTTTTATGATTTAAAGAAATCAGAAGAAGGTAGTGTATCCACATGGTTTGCTAAAGTTAAGAAGTTTGCGTTAAAGTGTAAGTTTGGCACTGCATTGGACCAAATTGTTTTGGATAAGTTCATAGTTGAATTGCCAGCTCCCATCTTCGAAAAACTATGCGAAGAGGATGAAACAATTACATTGAAAGCGGCCTTAAATAAAGCGTTAATCAGAGAATCTAAAATGTCGGCTAAGAATGATGCTGGGGTTATGTACGTCCGTCCACGTGGTAGGCAAAACAAGTGCGATATCGGCAAATCAAAGAGGCACAAAAGCAATCAGAAGAAGAAAGCATGCAGTCATTGCGGGTGGAAAAATCACGAATCTAGGAACTGTAAGTTCAAGAACAGTCGCTGTCATTCATGTGGACTACAAGGTCATCTGAAAAATATCTGTAAAAACAAAAGGGAAGACACGAATTTTATTAATTTAGATAAATCTCAAAATTCTAATAGCTCTTCTAATGATATTTCTCCTTCAGTATTCAGTGTCGATAGTATGGCCANAACTCCTCGCCGCCGTACTTGAATAGCTCAGCTGGCAGGCTGTCAGCTCCAGCAGCTTTGTTGTTTTTCAGCCGCGTTATTGCTATACGCGGCTCAGGTTCTTTTTCTTNTCGAGTTAGTTCAAAATAAATCTTTTTCAATGAGAGGCGTTAATTTTGTGAATTCATATGATGAAATTATAACGCAAGTTAAAAACGAATTTTCTGAAGTTTTCAAGACTGGTTTGGGCCGATACAAGTTAGGAACCGTAAGTCTAAAATTAGATAAGGGAGCAAGTCCAATATTTTGCAAACCACGTGCTGTTCCCCTAGCCTGGAAAAAAGAGATAGAGCTTCAAATAAATGAACTCGTGAAAAGTGGCATTTTAATTCCCGTAGATCATTCTGATTGGGGTACACCTTTGGTCCCAGTTATCAAACCTAATGGTCAATTAAGGGTGTGTGGGGACTATAAAACCACAATTAATAGGTTCTTATCTGATTTCAAATATCCGTTGCCAAGGATTGATCAAATTTTTGCCTCTATGCAAGGTGGACAAATTTTTACCAAACTCGATTTATCCAATGCATACAACCAGCTTGTTTTAGATGAAGAATCACAAAAGCTTTGCACGTGGAGCACTCACAAAGGAGTTTTCAAAATGACTCGATTGCCTTTTGGAGTAAAACCCGCTGCTTCAATATTTCAAAAAACTCTTGATTGTCTATTAAGTGAATTCGAAAAAGTATTCGCTTATCAGGATGATATTGTAGTCACTGGTTCAAACTTTGTAGATAATTTACAATTACTTAAGAAAGTTTTATGTAAGCTTCAAGATGCAGGACTTAAATTAAATATCGATAAATGTGAATTTTTTAAAGATAAAATTTCCTATTTAGGATTCGACATCGACAAAAATGGGTTAAGCAAAAATAAAGAAAGGATTAAGAGCTTGTTGGATTCACCAACTCCCACTAATGTCAGTGAGTTGAAAGCATTCATAGGGATGGCTAATTATCATTCTTTGTTTATACAAAATTTTGCAAATAAAATGGAACCTTTGTATAAGCTATTAAAAAAGGATGCACAATTCGACTGGAATAGGGAGTGTGAAAAAGCTTTTAGTAATATAAAGCAAGAAATATGTTCAGATCGTGTTTTAATACATTTTGATCCCAAATTACCTGTAGTTTTATCAACTGATGCTAGCAATTCAGCAGTAGCCGGTGTACTTTCTCATATTTGTTCAGACGGCAATTTGCGACCAATAGCTTTCGTTTCCAGAGCGTTGAATGATGCCGAGAAAAGATATAGCACAATAGAAAAGGAGGCTTTAGCTATTGTATATAGTGTGACGAAATTGAAACAATATCTTTTGGGTATGCCTTTCATTTTACGCACAGATCATAAGCCCTTGTTAACTATATTTGGTGAATATAAAGGTATTCCTATAATGGCTGCGTCTCGGATGCAAAGGTGGGCGTTAATCTTGTCAGGCTTTAATTATAGAATTGAATACGTAAAGGGAACATTAAATAATGCCGATGGTCTATCACGCATGTCACAATCAACAATTGGTGAAACTGAACAAGATCCTAGCTATATTAGTTACGTAGGTTTTGTAAATGCATTGCAATTAGATTATAAAGATGTTGCAAAAGAATCTCGCAGAGATCCGGTACTGTCAAAAGTAATTGATGGTGTTCAAAATGGCACAGTATCTCAGTTAAAAAGTAAAGAGTTTGAATCCTTTCGTTTAAAAGCACTTGAGCTAACTGTAGAATCGGGTTGTCTTTTGTGGGGATACAGAACTGTAATTCCCTTGAAATTCCAAAAAACTGTATTGGGTATATTACACGAGTCTCATATAGGCATTGTAAAGACAAAAATGCTAGCGCGTTCCTACATATGGTGGCCTAATATAGACAAAGATATAGAAGCGTTAGTTAAGGAATGTGTTTCTTGTCAAAGGACACAGGAAAACCCTGAAAAGAGCCCACTAATTCCATGGGTACCAACCGAATCAGCTTGGAAGCGAATACATATAGACTTTTGTGGCCCGATTAATTCATTTTACTTGTTCATAGTCATAGATTCTTTTTCTAAATGGGTAGAGGTTTTCAAAACTAAGGAAATAACTTCATCTTTCGCTATAAAAAAAATTCGTGAAGTCATCTCTAGATTCGGATTATTCGATACGTTGGTTAGTGATAACGGTAGGCAATTCACATCGTCAGAACTTAAGAATTTCACAAAGAAAAATTGTATAACCCATATTTTTACGGCACCTGGCCATCCAGCCACAAACGGTCAAGCCGAAAACTTTGTAAAAGCGTTAAAAAAGTCATTGTACGCTAATCTATCATCCAATGATAAAATCGAATTTGATACTGCTTTACATCGCTTTCTCTTTGATTATCGCATCTCTAAACATTGTACTACAAATGAGTCACCGGCGAAGTTATTATTAGGTAGAGAATTAAAGTCTCGTTTCAACTTATTAAAACCACCAATTACGAAAGCCATAATTGAAGCAAAGCATCATTCAATGATTGCAAATTTTAGAGGCAAACGAAATATTAAGCTTTCACACGGGCAGAAGGTTTATGTAAGAACTTACAAGAATCCGAACAAAGCAAGTTGGTCGCCTGCAGTTGTCAAAAAATGTTTTGGCCCAAGAAGTTATAGTTGTTTGTTTACTCACGAAAATCGCGAAATAAAACGACACATCGATCAAATAAGACCTCGTGAGGAGCAACAATTGAATGAAATTGTGAAGAACGAACTGATCGAGCCTGGATCGCAGTCACAAGCTGTTGCTTCCACCTCCACGATGGATGTTGCTCATCAACTCGTAAACAATTCGGTTGGAGATGGAGAGGACCGAGCTGAGTCAANTTGAATGAAATTGTGAAGAACGAACTGATCGAGCCTGGATCGCAGTCACAAGCTGTTGCTTCCACCTCCACGATGGATGTTGCTCATCAACTCGTAAACAATTCGGTTGGAGATGGAGGGGACCGAGCTGAGTCAAATACGTCGGTACCTGGTGTTTCAAAACGCCCTGAACCTCGTTCAGCGGCCACAAGAGCTAAAGAATTAATTTCAAAAATATTTTAGAATTCATAAAAAAATACATATGTATAAACAACTAACCATTTTTACATTTAAATTATTGTTGAACAAAACAATTAAGTATCATCCTTATAGCGTAATATATTACTTAGAATGATTGAATGTCATTATAGTATTCCTTTACTNAATTAAGTATCATCCCTATAGCGTAATAGATTACTTAGAATGATTGAATGTCATTATAGTATTCCTTTACTTTGACGTTTAACATTGCACTGGCGTTTATCATCATACGACTGTAAATTAGTATATAAGATTTGTTCAATAAAGTTTCCTTCCTTTTTTGCTACCAAACAACCGAGCTTAAAACATCTCAATGCTTGAACCTACTACTGCATACTACCATGTTTCGGGCCCCGGCGAAGTCGATCAGCTTCAATCCGTTGTCGGACGTTTCGTCGTGGAGGCTGAATTTTCCGACGGTGGCTCCAAAGATCCCTTCCTTGCCCACCCTGGCATTGAAGTCGCCAAGCACGATTTTGATATCATGAGGGGGGCAGCGCTCGTATGTGCGCTCCAAGCGCTCATAGAAGAGATCCTTGGATTGTGGCTAGACGCTCGTCCACCGGGCTGAACGACAGTACTCGGCGACGGAGTCTCTCTCCCACCACAAATCCAACGCCGAATTTGCGCTCCTTTACATGGCAGCTGTAGTAGACGTCGCAAGGCCCCAGACATTGCTTGCCTTGCCCCGTCCAACGCATTTCTTGGATGGCGGTGATGTCAGCTTTTGTCCTTACGAGGACATCAACCAGCCGGGCAGAGGCACCTTCCCCAATAAGGGTCCGGACATTCCAGGTGCATGCCCTCAAATCGTAGTCCTTTAAACATTTGCCGTGGTCGTCATCATAAGGGGGGGTCTCATCCGAGGCTTTGCCTTGCTTCTTCACTGGAAG